CCAAAAATAAATAAATAAATAAATAAATAAATAAATAAATAAATAAATGAATAAATAAATAAATAAATAAATAAATAAATAAAAAAAAACAAAGAATCTTCATTAGAGATATAGCAACATGCTTCTCAAGATCTGCTGCATTACAAATTAGCTTTCCTCAGGGCATCCCTGACATTTTTAAAAATCAGGCTGAAAATAATGGATTTATATTTACAGGAAAAAAAAATCTTGTCTCCCTCTTCCTATTGCTGACCACATGGACTCAAAACTGTCTGAAATTTTTTTCATTTCACTCTCTTCTCTATACCCCAAGGGACCTGAATTATTCAGAGAACGCAAAGACAGTAGAACAATTTATTTAAAGAGGAGCTCTGAGAATTTAATCTGTGACATATGTGAACCTTTAAACAGTCCCTCATTGCCCATTACCTGTACTCTTCTACTTCCAACCTTTGTTAAAAGCCAATGAGCTTCTCTGGAACTGATAGTGGAGAAGATAAAGTTTCAGCTGTAACCAACAGCAGGAGTTCATGTTTCCTGGCAGAGAAAAAAGAAAACAAGTGGGTACTCACCTTAACTTTTATTCTTATACAATAAAGATCCTGGGATAACAACAAATTTACTTATCCTGTGAGCGTGAAGTCTCTGTACCTTGAAGAAATTTTAGTTTCCATCAAAACCTGTCTTATGAGGATCAGGATGTACCTCAGCAGTTCCAGTGCCTGCCTGGCAAGAGCGAGGTCCTGAGTCTGATGCCTGCTTAAAAAAAATCTGTCTTATCAAGCTATCCTTCTGCTTTTTTTCCCCACTCTTTGAAACTTAGAATCACTGTCTAAAAAGAGTTATTTTCTAGAGAGTCTCCAATTCTTCTTCATTCTTTCCCATATAATGTAGTTTTCTGTCAGTTTGGACATCCAAATATTTTTTCAGTAATTAGACATATAAAATCTACTGTGCATAAATTATTGTCCATTTTGTTCAACTTCATTGGATGCCTTTTTGAATTTTTTTTAAATACTGGGGAAGAACCCAGGGCCTTCAAATTAAACTGCATCCACGACCCTTATTTTATTTTTCACTTTTGAGACAGAATCTCACTAAGTTGCTGAGTGGTCCAGGCTGGATGCAAAATTTTGAACCTTCTCTCTCATATCCCTGAGTCATGGGATTATGGGAATATTACACTGTAACTGCCTTATATCCTCTATTTTTAATGGCAGCTTTACTACATGAGACCTTATTTTAATTCTAAATTCTTAAATTCATTCTTTTACTCCAGTATCCACAGTAGCAACTTCCAATAATGCAACTAACCCTGAGGTTTTATACTTAGCTAGATTTCCTTCTTTTTATATTACTAATCCCACTGAATGCTCAGGAACATTTTGAATGACTTAATTTGACCGAGTGTGTTTTGGCATTTTCGTCTTTAACAAACACTCTAATGTGGTGCTTAATGGCTTCCCCATTTATGAGAACATGACTATTGTTCTAATGTACCATTTTTATGTTGATTATGGTTACCAAAAACATTCTTGATGAAGTAAAAAAAATTGTCTCTGGCTTATTCATTTACTGACAGGTTCAGCCCTAGCTGCAAAACACAGCAATAGCTATTCTACTTTTCTTAAATCCAATATTGATAGTTTGATTATATTTAGAAGTTAAATTAATTGACCTGCTTTTTGTGATGAGTTGTATTTGCCAACCTTGTTTAGTTAAGACACTTTCCATTTCTAGAAATGGAATTAGTTCTCCATAATGTGTTATTTAAAATAGATATGAATGCATTTTATTTATCTTTAATATTGAGATTTTCTTCTATGTTCTGGGATATAAGTTTGAAGGTTATTTTTTGTGATATATTTAACATTTATGTTTCAAACTTCATTAAATACATTCAGTATCGTGTTCATTCAGCACATGCAATGTGACAGAAATAACATTAGCTCTGTAAAAGATAAATGATGAGGCCAGGCTGTCCCAAAATCAGACCACAAGTAAAGGTAAAATTCACAGTGTGCAGGGATATTGAAGAAGACATAAGAGATCTCTAATGGAATCTCTCCCTCTCTCCCCCTCTTAATGCTCAATCTCTGCTCTCCATCACTCTGGCTCTTCAAATCCTCTCCTATAGCAAGCTCACCAACAGAGAGAACACCTGCACATTCTGTTCTTGTAGTCTCGAATGTTTCTTCTCTCCTTATCTCTTCTTATCGACAATGACCCATCACTCCTGCCGTGGCTCAAATATGCATAACTTAGAGAAGTCTCTCCTCAAAACTTTCCCATAATACAGTTTTCCCTATTTTTTACAGTGTATTGGTATACTTTAGGTATGCAAAGGAATTACATTAACTGTCGGGATCTGAGACATTTGCATAATGTATCTTGGTTCCTTTTTCTTCTCATTCCCCTGCCCTCTTTTCACCCCCTCCACCCTACCTATTTAAAAAGACTTTGTTTCCATGTTTTTCCTTTTCTCATACTTTTTCTTTTCCATTCTTACCTTTCCCCTACTCCTCCCACCTCCCCTACTTCTTTAGACCTTTGCTACCTGTTACACAATATCAATTATATATTTTAATCCTTATTTACACTTTTAGTTTTTCATACCACAGAAACTATTCGATATTTACACATATATGTCCTATTAATTTCACTTGAGTCTGACTTCAGTGTGCATCCACTTAGCTATAAATGTCTCAAGTCTTCCATTCTATAGGCCTTCATAATACTCTCATTTAATCATAGAGATTGTAAACATTTATTTTTAATCTTCCATTTGTATTTTAAGATGTTAAGATGATTGATTTGTAGAAGTCTTGAATGTTTTCATTCAAGTCAAAAACATATTAACTGTTCTTATTTGAACACAAAACATACCACTCAAGGATATGGGCACATGAGCACACACATCCTACAGGTTTTGTACCTGATTTTAATGATTGTGTAATAGTCTTCCTTCCTCTTATTTATTCAGTCCACACCCTTTTTTCCTCATTTCAGAAAAATTCACCTGGAAGTAAATCTCACAAGGGAGGATCCACAGGAGTCTTCTTTAATTTGAAGTGCTGTATAGCAGTGAAAAGAGGTAACAGACAAGTTCTGTTGATATGGCTAAAATTTCACCTTTGATTACTTTCCCTGGTTTAAGTTTATATTGATAAACAGTAACAATAAAGACAAATTTGTGCATATATTAAGAAGAGAAATTATTATTTATGAACTATCCATTTCATGTTATAGGAATAACAATAGAACAGTTACATCTCCTTGTCATTTAATCTTTTTATTCAGTCCTGTCATACAGTGAATATTTACTACTCTCACTATAGACTTAAAATGTTTATGACCAAGAGAGTTTAAGTAATTTCTCAAGATTACACAAATGAGAAATTGGTAGCCCAAAATTTTATTCAAGGAAATCTGACTGAAGAGTCCTATTTTAAAATTAATTACAAATCTATAAAGTGGGAGAGTAAGATATGCAAAATTATTAAAATAAGGGAGAATAATGACAATACGAATAGCTGTAACTTCTTGAGGATGCTATAGCACACAACAGAACTAATCCTCAAATGTAAGATAATAGTAATAATCATACCTTTAAGAAAAATAAGGCCCTATGAGTTAACTGCCACATTCCAAGGAATCTTCAATTTGTACAAAAAGATTATTTGAGCTATAAATCCATACTTTATCACACAAATAGGTACACTGGATATGAAATATGGGAATAATCCAAAATAATAAACAAACACCTTCAAATATTTTAGAATGATCTTAAGAAAGAAGAAAATCATGTATGTCTATAAATACAAAAAAGAAATGCTGTGATAGAAGTAAGATTTCTGACAGACTAAAGAAAATTTTTTTCATTGAGTTTACTGGTAGTTTTTTAAGTACACAGTACAGTTACATTTATCACTGGGATCTTGTAATTGACAGGTCTTGGTTTTCATTTTTCCCCATACCCCCTACCCTACGTTTACCCCCCTCCCCTATTTACAAACACTCTATTTCCATTTTCTTATATTTTTTCTTTTCCCTTATTTCCTTTCCCCTACCATTCCTGCTTCCCCTACACCTTGAGCTCTTTTGTATTTTTCCAAAAGAATTAAAAGAATCACACCACAGTGATATATGTGCACCCATGTTTATAGCAGCACAATTTGTAATAGCTAAAACTTAGAAAAAGCCCAATTGCCCATCAGTTGGTGACTGGATAAAGGAGATATGGTTCTTCTATAAAACAGACTACTCCTCAGCCATAAAGAATGAGAAACTAGAGTCATTTATAGGAAAATCGATGCATATTGAGGCCAAACTCTTAAGTCAAATAAATAAGACACACATGTGTAAATACCAAATAGTTTCTCCAGTGTGAGAAACTGAAAGTGTAAATAAGTTCCAAATTTACAACTGACAATGTGAAATAGGAAGAAAAGAAGTTTTGAATAATTACAAACAATGAAAATGGAAATGAGCTACAACTTGGCTAAATGAATCATTATACTGTGAATACTGAAATGAATCACAGTATAATGAAATGTGGATTGTTGACACCCAATCAAATGTGATTTTGTTATATATGTTTATATATGTGCCACTTCCTGAGGTGCCAGATATCTGTACTGAAAATACAGCTTATGCTTCTTTGTTAAGTAGAAAAACAAGTGATTGGAAGCATACAAGTGCATCACAGCTCCTCCTCCTCAGTATCTCAGATCATCCTGAACCGTGGCCTCTTTTCTTTGGGCTATGCCTGCCCACGAACCTGCTTGCAGTGCTTGGGAACCTGCTCATTATCCTGGCCACCAGCTCTGACTCTCACCTCCACAACCTACATACTTCTTCCTATCTAACTTGTCCTTTCCTCCAACCTCCAGCACAGTCCTAAAGATGCAGGTGAACATCCAGGCGCACAGTAAAAATATCTCCTATGGAGAATGCCTCCCTCAGGTATGTTTTTTTTTTTTTTTACTTTTTTTCTTCAGATGAATACTTTGTTACTTGCTGTGATGGCCTATGACAGTTTCCTAGCTATATGTCATCCCCTGAAATACACAGCCATCATGAACCCTTGGCTCTGTGGCTTCCTGTTTCTGATGTCTTGGTTCCTAAACTTCTGTGTCTCCTTGATTCACATTCTGCTTGTGAAGGGACTAAGCTTCCATAAGGGCCTGTGAACTGGCTCAGGTGCTCAAGGTGGCCAACTCTGATACCTTCATCAATATCATATTTCTACATGTGTCAGCTGCACTCCTGGGTGTTTTCTGTCAGTGGGGTATTTTTTTCTTACACTGGGATGGTCTCCTCATTGAAAAATGTCCACTGGAGGCAAGTGTAAAGCATTTTCTACATGTGGCTGTCATGTGTGTGGTCTGGTTATTCTGTGCAAAAGCATTCGGAGTTTACCTGAGTTCTGCTGGGACCCAGTGTACCCCTGAAAGCTCTGTTGCCTCTGTGATGTACACTGTGTTGATCCCCATGCTGAACCCCTTCATCTATAGCCTGAGGGACAAGGATGTGAAAATGGCCGGGGAAGACTCCTCAGCAGAGCCTTCTGTTATCTCTCACGGATCACTGACCTCAAAACTAAGCGAACATTGTGATCCCTAGATCAAGTGCTGTGACTTTTGATATCCTGGCTTTTTTTTGCTCTTATAAGATGTGTTTCCTTTTTCTTTTGCTCCCAAAACATCTATAAATTTCCTTGTATATGAAGAGTGACTGATAATGTAGTGAACCCTTAAAATGTATTACAGTAAATTACACATGGTCTTAATCACTGTCAAAATACTCTCCCATGCTTGAAAAACACTCAATACACCCTTCTTGCCTCCTTCCTATGCAGTCTCTGATGGCTTTTGATGAGCTTGTGGCCACGTGCCACCCGTGACCTTATTTTGTCTTCATGTCTTGCCTTTGTGGGTTCTTATGATATAGAAACCTTTCAACAATATAGAACATTCTCTTCTCTTCTGTGATGCTTTGCACCTCCCAAAACTTCCTGTTTTGATAATTTTACCAATAATGTGGTGAAGTAGATTGCTGAAGCCGTATGTGTTTTGGTTCATTTTAGGATTATTTACTGTTAACATAAAATTGTTTTTTCTATTCTGAGAATCCCATCATGAGGTTGACTACATACAGTTTTTTACTGAAGGTCTCAAGGGTAGCTGTTTGCTTGTTTTATTGAAGAGGGCTTGGGAGGGTACCTTGGTTCCTGTGTGTCTTATTATCCCAGGATCAGCACTGTAGCCTAAGTAATATACATGGCAGTTACCCTTTGGCCTGATCCCTTCATCAGTAGCCTGAGGAACAGTGATATTAAAGATACTTTGAGAAAGCTCCATGACAGAACAATGTAACTTCAGGTATGTTTTTTTAAAAAAATCTAGGCTTGTAAATTCTGTCTCTTTAGTAACATTACATTCATAGTTCAATGGCTTTAATTTCCTCATGATTTTTCACAGTGGAAAGATGGTTACCTGGCTCAGCTGATGGGATGGATTGAAGAGGTTTAAATTTAGTATAAATTTTGCAGCACGGAAAGTGGAAAATTTCTAGAGATGTATCACGTTTGCACAGGTGCACAACAATATGAATGAAATTAATGTTATTGAAGTGTATACTTATATGATTAGGTGATAGTTTTTTGTTTTGTTTTCATTTTAATTAATTTTATTTGTACGTTTTAGGTATACAATATACTGATATTCTTCATTTGAAGTTTGTGCCTTTACATAACATATCTTGTTTCTTATTTTTCCCCATTCCCCTGCCCTCTCTTCAACTGCTCCATCCTTCCCTATTCCCTATTTACAAAGAATTTGTTTCCATTTTTTCATTTTCTCAGGTTAACCCCATTTCCTTATTTTCCTTTCTCTGTCCCTTCTACTTCCCCTTCCCTGCTGCACATTTTCTTCCTGTTTCACATTATCTATTATACTTTTCGATCCTTTTGTTGTGCACATATTATAAATAAAATAAAAAAGGCAGATGGCTATTTTAAAAGTATATAGAATTGAAGAAGTTAATAGTACATATGAATTTCTTTGGATCCACTCTCCATGAACATGAGCCAGCAGAGAAGCAGCATAACTTCGTAAGTATAGAAGGAGTCTGTGCATGTGGGACACACTCTTGCAATTATTATTTTTTCATCATGGGAAAAATGTCAGATTTTTCCTCATTGAGTTTATTGGTACAGTTTAGATATACAGTACAGTTACATTCATCATTGGGATCTTGTACCTTTACATGACAGGTCTTGGTTCTCATTTTTTCCCCTTACCTGGGCCCTCCCTTTACCCCCTCTTCCCTTCCCTATTTACAAATACTTTATGTCCATTTCTTTCTTTTCTCATATTTTTTCTTGTCTCTTATTTCCTTTTCCCCACCCTTCTGACTTTCCCTACACCTTTAGCCCTTTTCTGCCTATTTCACATTGTCAGGTATATCATAAGGATCTCATGTAGCATTATAGGTTTTCGCACCAGATAACCTATTTGGTATTTATACATGTGTGACTTATTTATTTCACATAGGAGTATATCCTCAATATGTATCCATTTTCCTATGAATGCTTCTAATTTCTAATTCTTTATGGCTGAATAGTATTCCATTTTATAGAAAAACTACATCTTCTTTATCCAGTCTCCAACCAATGGGCAAATGGGCCTGGGGATTTGGCTCAGTGGTTCTGCTGCCTGCCTTGCAAGCACATGGGCCCGAGTTCAATCCTCAATACTACAAAATCAAACAAACAAGTTAAAATACGATGCCGGTGGCTTGTTTGAGTGGTTCTGCTGCCTGCCTTGCAAACATGCCAGCTTTATTACAAGGAACCTTATTTTAAATTTCCTTTCTAACTCATCCTATTTATTTTGCACTTATATCTCACCCACAACTGCAAAAAAATATCCACCTTCTGATTTGACTTTAAGCACTCTCAAGAGTTATGATGACAATGATAAGGATGATGGGAAAGAGATGACAGCAGCCATAGCATCATGGAGTATTTCTGAGGGATTCCTAAGAAACAGATGCTCGGCAATATGTTCTATATAGATTGTTTCATTTCATGTGGACCAAATCCTTATAAACTGTAAGTCAAATAATGTTTTCAGTCTTTAACTTTGGTCTTTGGGTATTTTGTCTCAGCAATGAGATAAAAGTAACTGACGTGTATGCTTATAATCATACTGTTCTTTGTTCATCTCCATTTTCCTTCTTAGTCTACCAATTTAATTCTGAATTGTATCTCCATAACCTTCATTTCTGAGACATAGGTCCAGTCGTTATTTTGTTTGAAACTCAGCATCACCATCTGAGTTGATTTTATTCAATAGAGATTCATCAAGGAAGGATTAATAATGGTTGTTTCCAATTTTTTAAAAATTATTAATTTTATTGAGTGTATTGGTACATTTTAGGGATACAGTACAGTTACATTCATTGTTGGCATCATGTACCTCTACATGGGAAGTCTTGATTCTCATTTTTTCCCCTTACCTCTGCCCTCCCTTCACCCCCTCCTCCCCTCCCTATCTACAAACACTTTATTTTCATCTTTTCATTCTCTCACATTTTTTTCTTTTCCCTTTTTGTTCTTCCCCTATGCATCACATCTTCCCTACACCTTTAGCTCCTTTCTTCAAATTTCTAAATGTCTAATGTAATCTTATTAGAATCTTATGCATTGTTGCAGATTATTCACACCAGGGAAACTATTTGGTATTTACACATGTGTGACTTATTTATTTCACTTAGGAGTATATCTTCAATATGTATCCATTTTCCTATGAATGAATCTATTCTCTCGCTCTTTATGGGTGAGTAATATTCCATTTCATAGATAAAGCACAACTTCTTTATCCAGTTTCCAACGGATGGGCAAATAGGCTGTTTCCAAGATTTAGCTATTACAAACTGTGCCGCTATAAACATGGGTGCACATACTTCTCTGTGATATGATTCTTTTAGTTCTCTTGGAAAGATACCCAGCAGAGGGATGGCTGGGTCAAATGGAACCTCCAGTCCAAGCTCTTTGAGGTATCTCCATATTGATTTCCATAGTGGTTGCACTAGTCTGCACTCCCACCAACAATGGAG